CTGGTATAAATTTGAAAAACAACTCAAATGTTTGTTCATTGACATCAGTTAACTGGATGGATGGGGTGCTGAACAAGTTTGACTTTAAGTGACACCGAATAAAGAAACCAGATTTATTTAAAACAAGTCAGTATTGTAGTTTAGATAAAACACAAGGTTTCTAAAAATAAAATATTATTTATACTGAGAAACGTTGACACACAGACATCAAAGTTCATGCTCACTAATCCAGGTAGAAAATTCAACAAAGTTCAATCAGGTCGTCTGGACGGTTTCTTTTTTGTCGAGACATTTCATCCTTCATTTGAAGGACTTCATCAGTCCGAGGAGCCACAAACAAACTGAGTCCCACAACCAGCACAGTCTCATAGTGGAACAACCAGTTTGCTGGTGATAAGATGGTTTCTGGGACCTGCCCTCTCCCCCGTCGACTCCTCTGAGGCAGCCATAGCCAAAGTGGTTCAAAACAAATTCAAGTATCTTTATTGTCATTCGCCTCACATGTGGTACATGCGCATCAATTACATCAATTATAAAAAGAAACAAACACTAATGTAAAATAATGTGGTATATTAAACACAGTTATTTCTTTATTGTCTAACTGATCTGAAAGGACATCATTTTATTTCTGAGTGCTTTGTAGCCGATAGTTTTTCCATAAATATCATTAATACTTTTGTTTTCCTTATATTCCATTTGTAGCATTGAGAAAGTGTCAAAAATCACTTCTCCGGTGCTCATCATCCACGGGACAGAAGATGAGGTGATTGACTTCTCGCACGGCTTGGCCCTGTTCGAGCGCTGCCCAAAGGCTGTCGAGCCCCTCTGGGTGGAGGGAGCGGGACACAACGACGTCGAGCTGTACAGCCAGTACCTGGACCGTCTGCGTCGCTTCATAGGTCAGGAGCTGGCAGTGCAGCACGCCTGACCTTCAAAACATCCACCAGCATCTTCCAACTGCCTTTATTTCACCCCCCACTCCCCCCGAGGTGCACCAAGCACCACCTCTCCATGTCAAAAATAGATTTAGGCCCAAGTATTATCTAAATCATCTTTCAGCTGACCATCACTTCCTGGAGTGGAGCGTCACACCCGGTCTTTGTCTGCACTGGAAGAAGAGAACGCAGAAACGTGTGAGCGTAAAAGACTTTAAGCTACGACTGTTTTTGAACGTGACACCAAGTGTACGGTGCAATAACGTGAATAGAATCCACAGGAAAAAGGCTTTTGTTGATGCTAAAGGAAAACGTATCTGAAAAAGTGGTAAAAAAAAAATGTAAACCACATGTTTTCTAAGCTACTTATACGTGTGTAACTTTAATATCTGCAAACTAACGTTGGCAGAGTCATGTTGCAGCACAAGAAGCACTTTCATTAGACAAGTCTTTGTGCTCTAAACTGGGGAATATGTTGATTTTCTGCAAAAATGGAAAAACCTGTTTCCATTTCTGACTTTATGTTCCGTTTTTGTTTAATTTTCTTGATTGGTAACACACCAGCTACAATCAAGTGGAAACCTTTTAGGAACATCAAAGTGAATTCAGATTCAATCGTTGGTTTGATACTGTAGTCGTTCTGTAGCTTTTGCTGGGTCAGCGGACTGCATTTATTTGGACACCATGTCTAATGTGTGTTTTTTTTGTGTATGTATCGTGGGAGTGGGATAAAACTGGTGGCTGGTTGGAATTTCTAGGAAAAAATATATAGTGGATGGTGTGGATCTGGGTTTATACTAGAAGTCTTTTAATTTAGTTTTTACTGTTCCAGATGTTTTACTCAGGTAACTCCGTCTTACACAGCGGGGCAGGAGTGTTCCTCACTTGTTCATTGTACCAGCTCATGAACATCTTTAATATAAAGGAAATGTTTCTGATAGCATTTCCCTATCGGTTTGTTTTTCTGTCTTTAATTTTTAACCAATAATTCAAGGTAAGGTACAGATCAGAGTTTACTGAGGCAGTGAGCTTCCGTTCATCTTTAAAATACATTTGGATGCCAGTAATTGAATCCCTCTTGTTTCCTTTTTCTTTTCTTTATTTTTAAATTGGTTAAATGTCTGAGTTTGTCTTGTCGTTTCACACCAGCAGGTCGCAGCTGTTTTTCAACCTTCTTGTTTTATTAGCGTCTTAAAACTGAGAGGCAACACTAAATTTTTTCATTAAGCCTTTATTTATCCAGGTTAGTCTCATTGAGACACGAGAACTCATTTTCAAGAGAGACCTGTTTAGGGAGCACATGGTGGGGGTTAAGGGCCTTGCTCATGGGCCCAGGGTGGGGCGAATGAGGGTGGGGGCAAGTGTGGGTGTTTCACCTACCCCACCCACAATTTTGATGTTGTCGGGGCCGGGGCGTGAACCGGCGATCTTCGGATCACAAGCCCACCTCTCTAACCTCTGCGCCACCACTCCCCACAAAAAACCTAAAACCTACCTTTGTTGTGTACTTTCTAGTCTTTTTGAAATAGTTTTGATACAAATGCTAATTTGAAGTCAAACCAAGTCTTACTGGTGTCCATGTAAACATGAAAACGTTTAAATGATAGTTCTTTTATGGTCAATATTTTGTCAGTTATTAGTACCTATGCAATTTTCTATTTTACCAATTAGGTCTCATATTCTTATTTTAATCATTTTCAGTTGTATTAAAATCCACTTGGCCGTTTTGTTAAATAGTATCATGCAACATTGCAAACGTTTGTCACTCAGGAATATCAGAATACTCTGATGTCTTTTCACTCTTTGCTTTATAATCTTTAGAACAACCTATAAAACCTATAACCTTTATTATTTGACAAGACCCTAGTGTCAAAGATTATCTTTCCAACTATAAAACCTAAATAATTTTTGATCTGCACTTTTTTACTGAAGCAGTTACCCCCCGGTAGTTTGTTCGTTACATCACTGAATAGAAAAACGACCTTAAAGGTGTGTTTAGGTGGATTTAGAATATTTTTTTTGTTTTGACTGCAAAGTCTGAGAGCCACCAGAGTTTCAAACCCCAACCAAATTTTGTGTATTTATGTTTGAAAATATATTTTGATGTTCTTTAATTGTATGGTTTATTTAACACTTAGACTCTTCCAGATGTGGAATCATTAGCTGAAAGCTTAAACTATGGTTCTTTTTTTTTTAATTAAGTTGTTGATTTTTCAAGGTTCTTGTAAAAATTTTAAACCAAAGTTTTATCATCATGAGAGCTTTATCCAGTGTGTTTATGATTATCATCACAGGCAAAATGTTCACATTTGAATTTCTGCACAGTTTTATTTGACTATACTTTCACTACATCTTGACTCTTGGGTTTGCTTTATTGTATTAATCTTTTGATGTCTGCCCACAACAAGTTGTTCTCTTTATGTTAGTTTCTTTTTAACCTAACAAAGTTGTTTGTTAAAAAAAGTGAGGTGATGAGAAACAATGACTGAGAAGCTTCAAGCAGACTCGTGAAAAACGTCCTTTCAAATAAAATGTGTGGATTTCTAATGAGAAGAGTCTTATTACCAGACTTTTTACCTATTGTTTGTTATACTGACACCTTTTTAGTTTTTAAATATGTGTCATTTTTTTCCCCCTAAAGAGTTAAATGAGTCAATAAAACAATGAATAATGGAGTGTTTTCCTCGTTTTTTACCTCATATGGTGCAACATCTGTTAGAAACAGCTTCAGCTGTTTTATTTAAACTCACACAAGAACTGGTCTGTCCCAGCCGCCTGCTGTCTGCCACCATGTTGCATTGTGGGAAACCGAGACAGATGGATCATAAGCTTGAGGTCACCCTTTTTTCCAGTCAACTATATAAACAATCTGGTGTCTCTCTGATGCTCTTACAGATTAAAGACAGCTGCTGCAGTATGTCTCCTGAGTAGTGCACGCTGACCTAACACAATCCCCACACCTGAACACAGCAATAAACAATAGAGATGCACGATACTGGATTTTTGGCCGATATGCTGATATGTTAAAACTCATTTGGCCAATGCCAATACTTTATCCCCTAGACTGACTTACAGAGACTACATTGCTTTCTCTGTTGTGGAATTAAAATACATTATTCTGCATGGCCTTTGTCAGTTTAACCTGCTACCAAATGCAGATGCCAAAAAGGGGCTGAAAATGACGCAACACTTCAACTTGGATTATGTTTAATGTCAAATTTATTCATGACATTTACTCTCTCTAACACAATGACAACACTCGAACAGTGCAAATTTGTAAATTTTCACAAATCTAAACGTGTGCGTGATGTCATCATGTTGTGCTGGTGCTGCAGGCGTCCTTGTCACTGGGTTGTACAAAAACAGCCCCTTTTATATCAGTGAGTTATTTTGATGGAACGGCCGATGTCCGATATTTAACTTTATTGCTAATATCGACCGATACCATGACGATAATATCGTGCATCCCTACAATAAACGGAAAAATCCTGTCCTTGAACGTGTCGGAGGATTCTGAAGGTGCTGGGCCACAAGAAAAGGTATGAAGGTTTGATAATTTGTCAGCAGCTGTTAAATGGTGAACATTTCGACTTGACTGATGTGCAGAAACAACAAAAGATCATTTCATCCAAACCTAATGAGTAAAGGTGGAAGCATCATGATGGTGATCCTCCATTTTTTACTGTGATGTAGATAATCTGCCTGTTGTCTTTCAGTGTTTGATGTTATCAGTCTCAATGTTGTTTACATGCACTATTATGACGTGTAAAGTGCCGTATTTTCTCCATACAAATATCTGATCAGGATTCTGCACTGGTGGGATGGTTTCCAGTGATTTTCCTAAATGTTTGTTCCCCATTCATTCAACCTTTAGTTATACAGGTTAATCCCATTGAGCCTCAGGGACTCATTTACAAGAGAGGCCTGAGTTTGTTTGTTTGTTTGTTCCCCATGAAATCAGTCTGATCATCGTTCCTGCAGCATCTTCTGTTGACCCGTGTGTTCTATCAGATCTGATATTTCTGCTCAGTGAGCCCACAAGGACAGAGCTCCATCAGATGTCAGTAATCTGTTCCATCCAGCAGATCATATTTATGACGTGTCAGTGACTCCAGCCTGTTCCATCCACAGCTTCATCCGATGAGCGTCCTGCCACTCATGCACCTCCTAATGCACCACAATGAATTTTAACGTGTTATTCCAGATAAATGTCTATAGAATTGAATTTGCATTATTTCACACTTGAAGTTGTTCAACCAAATCATTTTAAACTCTTTATGAAACTGTTGGACTATTTCCGTCTATTTCTTCTATTTCCATTTTTGTTCATTAATTTTAATCAAGTTATTTAATCAATTTTAAAAGTGTCATTTTTTGAAAGATGTTCTTCAGTTTAAGAACGGACCAACTTGATGTACAAGCAGACCAGTCATGGATATGGAAATGATTTGATTTGCTTATCTTTTAACTGCTCCTCTCTGCTGAGGTCACCACAGCAGGGTTTGGCGATTATATTTTATTTTTCATCAGAAGTCCTTCCTCACACAACCTGGGCTTGAACTCGCAGCCTCGGGATTATGAGCTACTGCAACCCTCTGACTTTATTTGCACGGAGCTGGCGTGTAAAGAATGTGCAACAAAGGACGTAAATGGTAGCAACACCAGTGGAGTGGCAGTGTTATCAGGCAGCTGCCAGAGTTTCTGAATATCAGAATATATACACAATGTACACAGAGGATGCGCTTCATGTTTGCATTATATTGTGGCTTTGTGTCAGGCTGGGTGATCGGGTGGCTCAGTGTTGGAAACAATGGGAACATGAGGACAAGCAGTGGTTACAGTGACCCAAGACAGAGCACATCAATAAACTGTAAGATTATTGTATTGTGCACCAAGTGTTAGGATTCTGTTTTTGTTGTTTGTTTGTTTTTCTTGTCCTTTAATTCTTTTTTCTTGCAGGATGAGCTGCAGAGGGCATTTTCTCTGCTGTGTGAGGTTTCTGACAGCTCCAGCTGTTTCCCATGAAAGCTGATGATCATCTCTACTTAAGGCTAAGCTGAGGCACAGTTCTTCTTTCATCTGAGCTGCCTCAGTCTCTATTCCTAATATTAGTCTTCTTATGTGCTCCTGTGAGAACAAGTAATCCAATGACTTGTTGGTGTTTTTCTACAGGACTCGTCATCTTCCTTCTGGTGACTCTCTGGGTGCTTCCTCATTAAATCCTTGGTGTAAACCTTGGATGTCTCCTGACAGCCTCTGGAGAACCTCTTCCTCCTGCAACATACAACAGAAGTCATCTCAGCCTGAAATCCAAACTGCCTGCTCTCTGCACCCCTGCTCATCTTACATCACACCTCTTACTTGTCCTTAATCCCAGAATTTTCCTCCTTTTCTGAGAAATAAAATACACAAGAATTAAAGATTTACCTGTTTTCACCTGTGAAAACCACAAATCCCCACTTCCTTTTCTCTGCAGATGTAAACAGTCTCTACTTCCTGCTCACTTTAAATCAAAACCATTTTCTTTTGTTAAATGTTTCCACCTTGAGTGAGTCAAACCCTGTAGCGTTAAAAGCAATAACAAGACACCTGCACATGCCGTCCAAATACAAGTACTTTATACAAAATCCTACACGCCCATACTGTAGGTACCACCAACTTTTACAGTATTTTAATAACTGGCTTAATTAAAACTGCTGGGTCACCATTTTGTCTGTAGGCTGCCATTAACACCAGAGCAGAGAGGGCTGTGTTTGGAGAGATGCTCTAGTAATCTAGGAAATTGAAACTGTCAAGGGAATTTAGGTAGAGGTTAAAGATGTTTATCAGTAACTAACGTTTAAGTAATGTGTGAGTTAGAGTTGTTTTGTCTCGTCAGAGAGGAGCCTGCAGGTGCATGGAGGCGCACCTGATAAACTCCAAGGCCTCCTCCGAGTCTGTAAGCTGGAAAGCCGAGGTCGTCTTGACCTCGCCTCTGTCTGATAACTGTATTATCAAGCACTTCCTGCCTCGCTGTTCGCCGCAGGTTCTCACTGACGAGGCTCAAAGCATGTGACTTTGCACATCTGCAAAAGCTTCCTTGTGACCCTTGCAAGTAAAGTGGGTTGAAAAATCTTCTGTCGTCGTGTGCGAGCTCATTTTGTTCCAGTGAATGATGTAAAGATATTTATTTTATCAAACAGAAGCTACAACTCAAGTGATATTTGGTTTGACCAACAGAATTTAACACCAGAGTTTCAGAGAGACCTTGCTTGGAGTCAAAATGTCAAACGGTCTGATGAAAACATGTTTGTTGTTAAGGCAGTGTCTCTTTGTGCGTGGTGTTGTGTCAGGTGGCTCAGTTGATAGAGCTGCTGGCTCTCACTGAGAAGGTTGCTGGATCAAATCCTGGCTGGGGTCTCTTCTGGGTGGTGTTTGCATGTTCTCTCCGTTCATGTGTGGGTTTTCTCTAGGTACTCCAGTTTCCTCCCACAGACCAAAAACATGCATGTTAGGCTGATTGGTAACTCTAAATTGTCTCTAGATGTGAGTGAGAGAGTGAATGGTTGTTTGTCTTTATGTGTCCCTGTGATGGACTGGAGACCTGTCCAGTCCAGGGTATCCCCCGCCTCTCACAGTGCTGGATTTGGGCACCAGTGACCCTCGTGATACAAAAAAAGGAAGAAGCGGGTAAAAGATAATGGATGAATGTTGTGTCATATTACCAGTAACTTGGAAATGCATGCATCTTTGGTGCTCCCTTTAGTTTGCAACTATAGTATCTAAAATCAGATTTTAATTGTCCAAATAAATGTTCTTTTGTTTAATCATGAAGTAAAAAAACACCCACAACAGTGATGTAACAAGAAGGCATGAAGTGACGAGTGGTGTTGCATCACGTTCAGCAACGAATCCTAACTTTGCAGAACCGCAGGTGACCATCGTGTAAACTTGACCATCTGTTTCATAAAGGCTTATAAAATATGTTTGCATCTTTCATGTTTATGTATGCTTTCCTGTTTTAAACAACATCCTCTAAAGTTTGCTCTTTCAGTTTCAGGACAACATGGTCAGGCTGATCAGAACAAACCCAGTTTCCGGAAAGGGAAGGTCACGACTGCTTCATTCAAGTCAGCAAAAATGTCTTCCACTCAGCAAAAATAACTTGGGCTGGTTCCAGAACAGCCTCTGGTGCAAAGACAATCAGACGGAACAGACGTGTGTGTCCTCCGTCATGTGGGACAGAACATGGAGACAGAGACAGAACGGGGAAATGGTTCACGTGATGTGATTTGTTCAAATACTGAAATCAAACACAAAAACAAGATTTCATAATTATGGCAATAATTTATTTACTTATGGAGGACATGAGTCTTTGGCAGTGTAGACAGGAAATGACAACAATTTTAAAAATAATTATAATAGTGAAGATGGAAATTGGACATAAACGAGAGTCCAAAGTGTTCTGCCTGGAGCGATGTAATATTAGACGAAGAGGAGCATGAACAGGTCAGACTGACATCAAATGTGAGCCGGCTGTAAGACTTTGCGAATGTTTATCTGAGCTGGAAAATAAAAAATGAGCATGACAGAATAACGTGTTCTTTCAAATTCATCACAGTAAAATGGATCATGTCATTTCTGACTTTCTGAGTTTGTTACTGTTTTATTAAAGCTGTTGGCACGCTCAAAAACATGAACACATTTCTGGTTCGAATTCTGTTAAAGTAAAAAAAAAAAAAAAAACGGGGAAAAAAAAGAAACATTTGTGAACAAAACAGTAACTTGTTAAGTGAAGAGAGAGTGAAACTGTGCACAGATTCATTCGTTCTTCATATTCACATCCTCTTCTATCCACATCCTCTTCGACCAACTGGCAAGTGCAACTCCAAAGTTCATACATTGCTGAGATAAGAGGTACAAATATTTAAGACACTTCACTTTAAACTTCAGTAGGATGCTAATAATTCATTTTCTGCATCTCCCCTCCAAAAAAAAAAAAGTGAGAAAAGATCTTTCTGTAGGTCAGACTGCATCTCTACACCCTGAACATAGGGCAGCTAAGGCCACTGAAGTATTCATCATGGACTTGATAAAACCAAGTACAGTACTGGAACCAATCAGAATGCGCTTAACTGTGCATTCATCACACAGTTCACAATATGAAAGGTGTAGGGCACACACACACACACACACACACACACACACACACACACTGTGCACATTGTGCACAAGCCAGTCAGGAGCTCCAGAAGATGCATGACTGGGTGGGTGGGGGGGGGGATGCTGACGTCATAGCTTCTTTCAGTCAGTTTCTATCATTCAAGAATACTGTTGGAGGTCCATTCATTCATCAGCAACAGGTCTGAACACTTGATCCACTCTCAGTCCTGTTAGGACTGAGGAAAGTAAAGCTTCAGCTACACGAGCATCACAAAGGAGCTGCTTCAATATCAGAATACTGTTGGAGGTTAGGCATTGGGCTTCTCCCACATGTGCAAAAATTTGTAGTAAAAAGAGGAGGCCACTAGGGGTCACTGTTGCACTGGTCCATGTTAAAGCTGAGCAGACACGGATGAGGCTCAGAGTCCGAGTCCTCTGAAATGCAGCAGGTCCTCCTTCAGTCATCCTTTGTTTGTTTAAGTTATTAATCCATCCACCCCTGGGGCCTGCAGGGCCCTGGGCTGGTGGTGTGAAGGCAGACTGAAGGGTCACAGTGTGACTTTACTGAGTCTGATCGAGAGGCTCGAGCGGTACTGAGTCCGAGGGAGAGTGGTGCTGCACTGGCTCCGCAGCTGTACTGGCCGGCACGCTGAGCCTCGCGTGCGCAGCAGGAAGTCAAAGTTAGCCGATGTGTTCATGGCATAAAAGACGTTGGCGTTATCGGGAATCACCAGCTCTGAAAGTTACAAAACCAAGAGGAAGAACCATTACTGGTGTTTCACGGGTCAACAGCTGTGCAGAAATCATTATTGCCCCCCCACCCCCCACCCCACCCCTGAAGGTGAGGGAAGAGCAATGACGTTTTTGCAAAAATGACCGAGACTCAAAATGAAAACACGTTTTACCTTTTTCCTCGGAGATGACTTGCACCAGCTCATATCCTTCCTCTGGCTCCAACTCCAGGTTGTGCTTCGCCATAGCTCTAGAAACCACAACTGGAGTCTTGTCTTGACTGGTCAGCTGTTTAGGGAAACAAACATCTCAGAAAATATGTATACACACCCACCCCCCCCACCCCCCCTCCCCCCCCGAATAAACCAACAACATGTTTATTTACCAGTATGCTCTTGTACAGGTTGCCGTTGCCATTCTCCAGGCTGACTCTTATGATGCACACGTCCTGGGACTGGGTGTTGTAGGTGGGGGTTTGACTTGGGGAGTAAGGGGACAGGGGCATGAGGGAGACGCAGCGTCTGTGGGCGCAAAGGGGCGCAGTGAGGGAGGGGGAGGCAGGAGTCATGGAGACACTGGCTGTGGATGAGGTGGTGTCCATGGAGTGGAGCGAAGTGCAGGAGGACGACTCTGATAACTGACGGAAGTCAAAAATAAATATATGAGTACTTTCATTTGTTACGTCACCTTTCTGCAGCTACTGGTGACCGATCCAACATTCATTCTGAATTGTCAAAGTATTTGCACATTTATCAGTGGGATAAAATCCCTATAGCTTTATTTCTGAAAGATTCTGCCTCTTTGAGAAGCTTCATTTAGGTGATGTGACTGACCTGTTTGCAGTCAACATGATACATAATGGTGCAATCATTTTATGTTTTTGTTTCTCCCCAAACAAACGAGTGTCTCAATTTCATTTTCTAATGTAATTATTTACAGATATTTTAATTTGGTTTTTAAATTTGTAAAGTGTGCCAAGCGTTTCATGAGCTTGTTTGTCATTTCTGCTTTAGATTCTGAATGTTGATTGAAAGTTAAATTATTTTAAGATATAAAATGTAAAAAAAAAATCCTAAAGCTTGTCTCACGGTGACAACTTCTGGTTAGAAAGTATTTAAAATATAGACTGCTTGTCATGTTGGCAGAAAAATGTCATACATTTAGGTAAAACTGTTGTGTAATTACGCTCAACTTTTAATGTATTATTTTAGATTTTCACATGGAGATTATAAATGCTCTATAACAGTCTTACCTTGTTTTGATGGGGGAGATGCGAGTCCGAGGTGTGGGTTGGTGTTGTGTGTCCCTCGCTGTCCGATGGGCTGCTGGAGTCGCTGGACGACACGCTGACCGAGTCCATGCTCTCTCCTGAGCTGCCAGTGGGGGGCGAGCGGGGCGTCTCTCTGACTGGAGAACTGGCCGAGTTACTGTCTGTTCCCAGAAACAGCCTGGGCAGTGGAGGAGGGGGAGACACAGGTTAATAAAATAAAGAGATTCCAGTCGTGCAGAGCATGAGAAGGCGCGCCATGTTCAATGCAACATAACAACATTAACAATAAACGCCTCGTTGCCCTTTAAAGAAATACAGACCACCCAACGCCTTTTAATGGGTTTTAGTCTGAGATCATCTTATGTTTAAAACTATTTTAATCAACTCTTACATAATGGTTTGCTCATTTTCATGCAATTCTGTGAGATGTCACTGTTGTGGCGTGTGTTGCAGATAACTCTCAGCTACCACCTCATCAAATTTTAGCCCAATACCCACTGAGTTATAGCCATTTATGCAATGGCTAATGTTGATTAGTTGATCTTAAATCGTGCTTGCTCTGAAATGTATTTATTTGTACATGTACAACTAGGGATGCACCGATCCACTTTTTTTAAACTTCCGATCCGATCCCTTAATCTGGATATCTGTCGATACCGATCCAGTTCCGTTATCATGATCATTATTGATTTTACATGAGGCTGTAATAATCTCCTCTCAAGTACAATTTGTACAAATAGATGCATGCATGTCCAAAAAGGCAACTTGAGGTAAGTTTTATTAATGTTGGATAAGTTTCAAAGTTAGAATTAAATTCTGCTAACACAAAACATGTTTTTTATTCTTGTTCCAAGCTTTAAAGTGGATATTAAAGTGATTCATTTAAGTGACTGTGTGTTTAAAGTTATTTATATATTTTTTTTAAATAAGGTGGAGATATAAGAATTTTTATCTTCTTTCTGCACTCTTTTCATTTAATGTTTCGTTTTTGATTAATTTATTTTGTTAATTTTGTCTTTTAAATGAATTAAATAAAATAAAAAATTAAATGGCTTTAAACATCTGCTAAATTCATGGTATAAACCAACACAGACATTTTATTTTAGTATTTTACATCGCTTTAGCTGTTTTTGTTTCGTTATATATATATATATATATATATATATATATATATATATATATATATAATTTTCTTGTCTACTTTTGTACTGATAAATATCTCCTGGAGGGTAAACTATATCTTGGCTGCAAGTATCAATCTGTGAAATCCTTCGGTTTCTACAACTGATAGTGTTTGGTCATTAATTATGATGAAGTTTAGCAACTTTTCAGTAAACATTCGAGCTCCAGGGCTTCAGCGATATATCCTTCTTGTTCAATCCACAGCAGGCAGTCTGATTTCGGTCAGCCGCGCTCAGTCTGCCCCTCCTCGGAGATGGGCAGATTGGACTCGGCTGGCTGGGGTCAGGCTGCCTGCTACGGGTTCAGCGAGAAGAGCAGACCGCTGAAGCCACAGAGCTCGAATGTCCAATGTAAAACTAACTTTACTGCGGTTTAATGTGGTGCTATGGCTCTGCAGACATTGCATGTTGCTGTCTTGTTTTGTGGTGTTTCTAGTGTAAAATATTTCCACACAGCGGACATGTTTCGAGGAAAAGTTGGTTAGTCGTTAGGCACAGTGCTGCTAACTCAGTCCTCACGTTGTAGCTGGCTGCAAACTATGAAATGGATTTCCTGAACGTGAGGCGGGTCTTATTACTCTGGATTCATGAGACGTGCCTCTGTTCAGGAAATACATTCCATATTTTGAAGCCAACGTGGATCATGGATCGGAAATATCGGCTGTTTGGATCGGAAAATCTGATATGTAAATTATGCTGGTATCTGAGCCTGATACCGATACTGGATCAGATCGACCCCATCCCTACTTCCAACAGTACCATGCTGCTAACAGTACCCTGCTTATAACAGTGCCATGCTGCTAACAGTACCATGCTGCTAACAGTACAATGCTGCTAACAGTGCCTTGCTGCTAACAGTGCCATGCTGCTAACAGTACCATGCTGCTAACAGTACCATGCTGCTAACAGTACCATGCTGCTAACAGTGCCATGCTGCTAACAGTGCCATGCTGCCAACAGTACCCTGCTTCTCACAGTACCATGCTTCTCACAGTACCATGCTGCTAACAGTACCATGCTGCTAACAGTACCCTGCTGCTAACAGTACCATGCTGCTAACAGTACCATGCTGCTAACAGTGCCATGCTGCTAACAGTACCCTGCTTATAACAGTACCATGCTGCTAACAGTACCCTGCTGCTAACAGTACCATGCTGCTAACAGTACCATGCTGCTAACAGTGCCATGCTGCTAACAGTGCCATGCTGCTAACAGTACCCTGCTTCTCACAGTACCATGCTGCTAAGAGTGCCATGCTGCTAACAGTGCCATGCTGTTAACAGTACCATGCTGCTAACAGTACCCTGCTTCTCACAGTACCATGCTGCTAAGAGTGCCATGCTGCTAACAGTACCATGCTGCTAATAGTATCATGCTGCTAACAGTACAATGCTGCTAACAGTACCATGCTGCTAATAGTATCATGCTGCTAACAGTACAATGCTGCTAACAGTGCCATGCTGCTAACAGTGCCATGCTGCTAACAGTACAATGCTGCTAACAGTACAATGCTGCTAACAGTACCATGCTGCTAATAGTATCATGCTGCTAACAGTACCATGCTGTTAACAGTGCCATGCTGCTAACAGTACAACGCTGCTAACAGTGCCCTGCTTCTAACAGTACCCTGCTTCTAACAGTACCCTGCTTCTAACAGTACCCTGCTTCTAACTGTACCATGCTGCTAACAGTACCCTGCTTATAACAGTACCATGCTGCTAACAGTGCCATGCTGCTAACAGTACCATGCTGCTAACAGTACC